TGCACATTTATGCAAGCAGAAAACGTTTCGCCACGATTAAACCCTTCACGAGTGTTCCAGGAGCTTTGATGAGGGTTGCTTTGCGATATAGAACTTCACTAAAGTGCTGACACATTTGTGTCTTTTGTGAAAATTGGAGATTGTCCGCTGACCTTCATATGTCATCTCCACCACCTTGACGAGGGCTGCTTTCTTCACTCTTCTGAAGTTGAAAATGATGCCGGCCCCTTCGTGTTTTAATACAGTGCCACTCTTTTGCATTGACAAATGAAGGATGACTTGAAACAGGTGCAGGCACTTTTTCAAGTTGCCCTTACCTATTAGACTAACCCTGCTATTAATCAAAGATTTGAACATCATTGTTGAAAAAAGAAATGCCCACCGAATGCTTTTAACTTTTAAGACTAAGGTGATTGCATACTGTTGCATAGATAGGTGGTCTATTTACTCTATTACACTCATGTCCATAAATTAAGGATAATTCGGAGTCACGTGGAAATCGAACTCTAAAATAAATATATCACCTGTAAAATCACTACACGCATCTTCAAGAATCATATGCAAATTTCAGGAAGTAACCAGATGACACCAATGGTACGTCACAATGACGAGAGTGTAAGAGAGTGATATATAAGGAATACAGACAAAGAAGTAAAATTGTTCGCAGGCATTTTATAAGCATTTCAGTGCAATAACCGAATAGTTATGACACAAAGGACGCATTTGGATGATTTTTTATGTGGTAGAATTATCCGCCGTCTGGAATGTGGACGTACCCAACTGGAAGTATCAGACGAATTTGGAATTGCCCAGAGTGTCATCTCCAGGCTTTGGCAACGATTCCAAGATGATGGTAATGTGAGTTGTTAAATATTTGCATAATCGCCTGTAGTAACGGCAACCGCCGCCAATAAAAGGAGGTGCTTTCCTTGGTAGCGGTGCAGTTCATTTTAGTTCGAGCCAGAGTAGACCTGCCCGGGGGAGAAGCCAGGGGATGATAGATTCCGGTTCCCGTCTTGTTCCGGTTCTCGTCCTGTTCCGGTTACCGTCTTGTTCCGGTTCCCGTCTTGTTCCAGTCCTGTTCCGGTCCTGATCCAGTTCCAGTCCTGCCGTTTAAGTCCAAAACACTTAAGTCTGAAGTCTGAATCCAGCGAAACTAAAATGGAGATAGTATATGCCGAAAGGGCTAGATGGATTTTGTCCTTTTAAAGAAAGTGTTCTTCACCGTGCCGGAATAGCTGTTACTTTAAAGCATTTTGAATGTTTCCACCTAAGATGTTAAATTTTCGTTTATGATGTTAAGTTTTTCATCATTTTTGAAGTTATAGTTAAATAAACCTTTAAGTTTTAGAAGAGGTTTTTGTGTTCCTCAGAAATTTTAGATTCGAAGTCAGATATATCACATAGGATTTAACGGAAAAATCAACATTACGTTACAGCACAGGTCGCCCCAGAGTTACAACGCCTAATGAGGACCGGTATTTGGCAGTTACTGCCAAAAGAAACAGGCGGAGCACAGCCTCAGACCTGTCTCGTCAGCTCTTTTCAGCCACTGGTACGACAATTTCAAGGCAGACCGTGTACAGACGCTTAGGGCAGATTGGTCTATATGCTCGTAGACCTGTCAGATGCATTCCACTTACTGCAACTCACTGTCGCCTGCGATTAGCCTGGAGTAGAGAGCATGCATTGTGGACACCGCAACAGTGGGCTTGTGTGATGTTTTCCGACGAGTCTAGGTTTAGCTTGCAGTCTGCGACGGACTTTCATATGGAGAGCTCCAGGTACCCTTTACCACCAAGAAAACATCATTGAACGGCACCGTTACGGTGGTGCAGTAATGCTCGTTTGGGGTGGAATTATTCTGGGTTCCAGAACTGACCTGCATGTTCAAATTGGAACCATGACAAGCCAAATCTATCGGTACGTCATTCTGGAACATCATGTACGTTTGTTTCGGGGCGCCATGGGCGCACAATTTGTGCTTATGGATGACAAGGCCCGTCCTCACCGTGCAAACATCGTAAGCGAATGCCTTCAATCGGAGGATATCAACCCGTATGGACTGGCCAGCATTCTCACCAGACTTGAATCCAGTAGAGCACGTGTGGGATATGCTTGGCCGACGAGTTGCAGCCCGTCAACCTCCTTCTACATGTCTACCGGAACTTCGGAGAGCATTGCTTTTTGAGTGGTGTAATATCCCCCAAGATCAGATCGATAATTTGATACTCAGCATGCCTAGGCGTTGTACGGACTGTATTGCATCGTCTGGGAGACATACAATGTATTAACAATCATACCAACCATGTAATATTGGTTTTTTTGTAAATAGGGTTTTTTTTTTAATTTGCTCCAGGGAGAAAAAATCGCTAATTTTTTTAATGATATCAAACATATAGCATCTTATTTTGCTCTTTACCTTTTGTTTAATAAATAAGCTTTACAAATAAGTCAAATTTGTTTTGCTTCTAACTCTTCCTTTGCCTGATTTTGCATTATCCTTAATTTATGGACATGAGTGTAAATGAAATCTCAGCAATAAAGAGGAGTTGTGCTAGATGAACGAAGTTTGGAGGACATGTTTCCACATCTGAAAGTTCACATCTATTCACATTTCACACTAGACTAATTTAGTACTTCCACTATAGATATGCATAACACTGGCTTTAAATACACGATGTAAACTTCGTGTGGTTTATTTATCTTCCGGATTGAGCGTTGTGAACGAGATTCGAGTCAAGAATGCCTTTCAGGAGACGAAGAAGGCAGCTTAATGAGTTTGAACGAGGTCATGTAATAGTACGACAAGAACATGGATTTTCTTTTCGTGTTACTGCAGAAAGACTTGTCACGGATGTATCCACTGTGCATATCTGTTGGCAGTATTGGTCACCAGAAGCTACTGTGTCAGGTTGGCTGGGGCCTTGCTGCACATGTATCACCATTCAAAAAGAAGACCAGCATATGCGCCGCATATCTATGGCGCATTGCATTGCATCTGCAATAAACATTTGAATTTGTTTACACCAGTTCTGTTGTATTCTCAAATGAGAGCCATTTCTACAGAGGCTGTTCACACATTTTTAGACGATGTATATTGTATTCACAAAACTAAATTACAATAAAATTCTTGTGTTTTAAATCTTTTATTTGACATACCTTATTCTGGACTATCTTTCGACACCGCAATTTCCAGGATAATAACGCCTTTTGAAGTGGCAGAAGAGGTATTCTATCCCCATTCCTCCCGAACAGCTTTCCAGAGTCCTGTTAGGGTTTTGGGACAACGTTTGGATAATGCAGTTTTTAAAAGTCCGAAAGCACAAAAATCCATAGGTGACACATCGGGAGATTTAGTAGGGATATCAGTGAAGGGTATGGCCTTGATACCAGTTTTTTGTTCTATTTCTTTTAGGAAATTTACAGTGGATTTTGATGTGCGACTGCTAGCTTTGTCCTGATGGAGTCTCACAGATTGATGGCACTGTGGGTAAAGCGATGGTAGTTCATTCAGAAAAATTGGATAAACTATGTTCCTGATAGTATTTGGAGTTAATCTTGACATTTTTTTGCACTCTCTTTATTTTTAACTTGCCATTATAAAGAAAAACCAGCAACAATCATGAATCCCTTAGAAAAGCTTTCTTTCTATTCTTTGAAACATGTATTTAAATTTTTTTCTCCCCTTTTATGATAATAAATGGCTCTTTTTTTGTTACAATCGTTTAAATACACCCATGCTTCATCTATTGTGACAATTGTTTTCCATTTTTCTTTGGATAAGTGTTTCTAATATAGAATTCTGCAGCGTGTCCTGCGTTGAGCGATATGCTTTGGAAGAAGACGATGCACATTGCGTGTTTTCGCTTTCTTAAAATTTAAATCAACGTTTATCATTTTGTTTACAGTAGACACCGAGCATTTTAATGATTTTGCAACTGTCCTTTGACTAGGCGATTTTCTTTTAACATTAAACAACCTACCTTTGCAATAGTCGATGTCCGTTTTTTCCTTGGATACTTGTTTGGAATTTTTGTCCCACTTGAGGCTCCAATTTGACTTTTTTTTCCTTTCTTGTTGATGATATTACCTATCGACGCTTTAGATATCACAAAACCATGACTCTCACATCGTTTTTGGATAACAGAGTATGCATATTTCTCTTCGGAAAGAGCGTAAATGTAGCCTTCGAACCACTGCTTTGTTAAATTCGCCATTTTGAATAAAAACAAAACTTTCAAGCCACAGACGATAATTTTGACTTTTAAAAACATAGTACAATTCCAATTACAGTAGAAGTCCATTAGTCCGGCATCCAACAGTCCGGAATGCCCGATAGTCCGGCATCGCTCCGGAAAATTGTAAAAATTTTGGTTTTCTCCAAAAGTGTGTCTTTAAAGCAAATAAAACCGCTCGAGAGCTATTCGGAAGTTTTCGGGGTAGTTCGAGATCATCCGGAAGCGCTCGGTATTGTTCGGAAATAATTAGCGGCCGGCTAGTCTCAGCTGTCACAACAAATTCAGGTGCAGTGCAGCTCCGTTAATCAATCACGAAGCGTCTTCGCCATTTTTTTGTGCGTTGTTGTTTTGTGTCCTTTCACATCGCAGTAAACGTAACTTTTGAAACTGTTTATAAAAAATGATTTTCGTTCTAACTGTACAGTGACCATGTTTTCAAAACCTAAGCCTTCGAGTTCAAAAGGAGAGAAACGAAAACACGTAACACTGACTCTCAATCAGAAACTGGAAATCATCAAACGGCTAGACAAAGGCGAGAATAGAAATGTTTTAATGAATGAGTTTAATATTAGCTCATCAACTATTTATGACATTAAAAAACAAAAAGATGAACTAATGAAGTTTGCTTCTCAATCGGTAACAACTGAAAAATTGGCTTCTAGACAAACATTAAAAAAACCAAAACTGGAACAGCTAGATAGTGTATTGTTCAAATGGTTTAGTGCAGTACGTTCTGAAGGAAAGCCGGTAACAGGGCCAATGATTGTTGAAAAGGCAAAGAAATTCGGCCAAGATTTAGGAGTTGCTGAAAGTGAATGTAATTATTCTGATGGTTGGCTCAGAAACTTTAAGTTTCGGCATGGAATTCGAAGACTTGATGTAACTGGAGAAACCCTTTCAGCAAACCAAAACTCTGCAGAAAAATACAAAGACGAGTTTGAGAAAATCGTGGCTGATAATGATTTAACACCTGAACAGATTTACAATGCTGATGAAACAGGGCTATTGTGGCGATGTTTACCAACATCTACACTAGCTGGGGGAGGAGAAAAAGCAGCCAAGGGTTTAAAAAAAACAAAGACAGTTTAACCGTTTTGCTATGTGCTAATGCGTCTGGAAACCACCGAGTGACCCTTTTTGTGATAGGTAAATCTGCAAAACCCAGAGCTTTTAAGAATGTTACACACTTGCCTGTCCAATACGATGCTCAATCAAATGCGTGGATAACTGCCGCCCTCTTTAAAGACTGGTTTTTTCACCACTTTGTGCCTGAGGTCAAGGAATCCTTCAAAAGCCTTCGTCTACCAGAAGATACTAAAGCCATCCTTCTTTTGGACAATTGCAAAGCCCATCCGCCAGTAGATGAGTTAGTTTTCTGGAAATATTGTTGCTACTCTGCTCCCACCTAACGTAACATCTTGATTCAACCCATGGACCAAGGGGTTATTCAAAACTTTAAATGCTTTTTATAGAAGGTCTTTTATTCAAGGCCTGTTAAATGCCGACTGTGACGTGACTGATTTTCAAAAAAAGTTTACAGTAAAAGATGCCGTCTATGCTATTGCACAGTCTTGGAACCAGGTAAAAAATACAACACTCCAAAAATGCTGGAGAAAACTTTGGCCAGCTGCAAACCCTGCATCTGACCTAACTCTACAGACTGATGAGGAAGAAAACCATCAAGACGCTCTGACCAAAGTTTTGGATGTCGTTAGAAGTACTGACAACCCTTGAAAAACCTGCCTGAAGATGAGGTAGAGGAGTGGCTTTTAATCGACGAGAATGAGCCTGTTGAACAAGAACTAACCGATGAGGACATTATCAACATTGTAGTAAACCCTCAGCCTACTCAAAATCTTGAAGAAAATGACTCAGATGCCGAAACGGAAGAAAAGGAAAAAATCAGCTGGGCAGAAGCTGCAGAATCACTAAATAAGTTTATCTCTTTTGCCGAGGCTAGTACTAGCTACAGTGCTTCAGAAATTATTGATTTTCATATCATTAGAAATAAATTTTATACTAAACGCCAAAAGTCAAGAAAACAAAAAGACATTCGTGACTTTTTTAAATCTAAGTGAAATATGTTTTACAGTACGTGTACATACATTATATGAAATGTAAAATAAACTTTGTTGTATGTATTTGCATACTGTATTTTTAGTTTAATTATTAACCTAATTGTTCTTATAATTACCGCCCGATAGACCGGAATTTTCGGTAGTCCGGCACAGAGCCGGTCCCGAACGTGCCGGATTATCGGACTTCTACTGTACTTCTTTTGCAGCAAACGATTTTTTATTACCGCTTACCAAAATCGTCTAAAAAAATGCGAACAGCCTCTGTATTACGGTGCAGTGACGGCCGTATATTGGTTAGAAAGTCAGGTAAGCTCTTGGAATGAAGCTATCTATGGCGTAGGCACATTGGACCTATACCAAGAGTTATGGTCTAGGAAAGTTTTTTAAAATTTGTTTTTATTACAGGACCACTCTCATCGTTGCCCCACACAGCTTGAGAGCAAATTTATATATCAAACTGGTGACTGCATCAGTGGTCCTCCCATTTTTAGCAGTAATCCATGAGGCATTTTCCCACAATTTCCATATTCAACATTGGATAATGTTTATCTGCATATCGCAGCTATCCCAGTTTTCTGTGCTTGTATAAGTTCAGATTGTAAAGAAGTAAACTGTAGTAGTAGTTGTGAACGGGAATTATCAGATGCTAGAGTGGGTAGAGTACACGGCCGGCACTAAGTTGTGTTGATTCATAGCAAGGACTTTGTCAATTTTTAAGGACACTTTAAGATTCAAGGACAAAAGTTTCATTCTCGTCAATTGAGTAGCTAGTTCTTTCAAACTGTGACCTATTTAGCTTAGCAATGCTGCACATGTGCACTTTCAGGCGTTCAGTTTCTATGAAAGCATTGAAAAGTACGTTTATACTTATCGCTCTCTGATTTGAGTGGCCTTTCACACTGGATTTTTGTGGCACCTCTATCTGGCTCTAAGTGATCATAACTGAATTGCATTATACTCTGGATTGTGTTGTTGTGAGATTCCTTTATGTTAATTAACCAGTTATTTTATGTTTTGGATGTGTACTGTCACTTCTCCTTTTCCAATTTCTCGACAGAATGCAAATTAGTTCTCTTGTATTTAAGGTGATGTTTTCAGACTGTAACACAGAGTGTTCTGCCTCTCGTGGCGACATTATTAGGTTTCTGTCTTAGATAAGAGTTCTCATCTTTGGCCTTGCATTATAATTGCCAATAGAAGAATTCCACGCAAATTAAGTTTTCATCCAACTTCATGTTAATTTGATCGTGTAGCCATTGGCTAGTAGCCTATTTGAATTTAAATTTTAGATTTGACTTACTGTTACTTTACGTTTTCTCGCCACAAATGATTGGCTGTGTTATAAAGACAAAGTGTACCTTTTGTTATCAGTTTGTTTCCAAAAAATGTCTTTTACACCCTTCTCAAGCTTCATTTGTTACTTAGCGTCTACCAAGAGGTTGGGCACTTCGCATGATTACAAAGAACTCTAAACTCTACATTGTATTTTGAATTATATCTGAATTGTATTGAATTTTGAATGAGATCTGAATTGTATTTGAACGAGATCTGAATTGTATATTGAATGAGATTTGAATTGTATTGTAATCTGAATCTGAGTTGTATTATAATTTAAATGAGATCTGACATATATTGTAATTTGAATGTAATTTTAGTGAATTTGAATATTATTGTAATCGCTAAAGCTATCTGCTTAAGGAAAGGATACCCTTTATGGAGCACTTCCTACAATAAAATGGCTTATGCTGACTGCAAATACTGAGAGAAGCAAAGGGATAATGAATGTAGCATCATCAGTCTACAGTCTAAGTATAGAAAATAATGTGTGAAAAATTAAAACACTTGTCACATATGCAATTCGTAACCGGAACCCGACGTCAAAAGTAACATTTCTCAGAACAGTTTCCACGAAACCAGGTTGCCATCTTTCACTAGGTAAACAAACTTAAAAGCCAAACAGGAATCGGTTATCTCTCAGATTGGTGAAAGAGACGTTTGCTTTCAAATTTTGTGTATATACAAAATATATTTCGTAATTATTTTAATACTGTTGCTCAGTACCTTGGCAAATGACATGTGTTACATTAATTGGTAATTACATTAATTGTTACTCTTAAATTGTATATTTTTTTATTGATTCTTGTAATGATCTGTTATATATTTTTTGTACATACTTTTACATTGTACATTCACTGGTTTGTTATTATTTCTGATATTATTATTGTAAACAATATTTTTGTATCCATATATTTATTTAATAACTTTTATGTATGCAATATAATGTCATTTGCTTGCATATGTTTTGCAATGAAGGAAAAGTAGTTATTTTATCACAAAAATGTTAAATATTTCGAAAAGGCAGTAACTATTCTGTTAAAGCGGCATCAGTTAAAAATGTGCCTTTCCCCCCCCACCACCACCAATTTTTGCTAAGTTTGAAATAATAGAAGAGTTCAAAAGACTAAAAAAGAAAATACTTCTGTAAAAAGTTTTTTTTTTTTTAATTTTAAAGAAAGGAAATTTTTCTTTTTAATCTACAATATTCTACACATAAGTAAAAAATAACAAAACAAAACGAAATTTAATCTAAACAGGTGGCATAAAGAATATTTTATACATAAATAAAAAAATAACACAACAAAATGAAATTCAATCTAAACAGGTGGCATAAAATTACAAATATCATCCAATATTGATGAAAAAGTTTTAGTTTTTGAATATAACCGATGCCACATAAATTCTATCAAATATGACTCTAAATGATAGGGATCAGTGCCATCCATTTAGCACTACCCCACAATCTCTCCCCAATATAGCATACGGTTGCAGGCCCTATAGAATTACGATTCACAGTGAAATGCTCATATTCAGCAGCATTTCTTAATTCATCTTTCTTATATCCTTTCCCAGCAGCCTGAAAATATAATGCTGCTATCCGCAAAGTTTTTCTGAATGCCAGTCATCAATGTTGTAGCACAATGATCAGGAACGGAGACCAGAAATCATTCTTTGCTTTCCCATCATAAACACCTCAATACCCATTGCTCTGGAAGGACACATCCAACGTTATTTTTCCTTTTTGTGAAAAAACTTTTGTCTGTTTCTACAATTTTCTTGGCCCCACCGATTTTATTTCTTTTAACCTTTTAAAGACGAGATGGCCATAATAGTGGCCATAGAGTCGCTTCTTTGAAAAGTCAGGGTTGTCCACTTTAGTGGCCATGTCTTTTTCCCCCATTTTCCAGGCTGAAAAGTGGGGTGAAGTGTCAAATTTGACATTCCAAGGGTTTTAACCACTTATCTCTTTCAAAGGTCTGCCTTCTGCGACATAGATGCACCCCTCTGAGAATCCATTATACAGACACGAATCTTTGTTGCAAATAGGAGGTGATTTCTTCAAGGGGGAAAAGCATTCAGTCAAGATTCCCCATCCTTTGATAGCTTTTACTGCTACCAAAGCCCCGGCCTCAAAAGGTTAAGAGACAAACTATTTGCACATACCTTCTTCAATAGTTATTCCAATCTACTGTCGTATTACGGCCGATTTCTAACTGAAGTTGGCAAAATTCAATAGACGTTAATTCCTAACACCACAGATAAATAAAACAAACGAAATTGAGGAAAGAAAGACACAGGCCTTCAAACCATGTTTTGGTCTTCAATCCTTTTTTTTTTTTCCACAGCAAGAATTTATATAACAACAGTATATAGGAGCTTTATTTAAGTCAAAACTTAATTTCTTCGATGATTTTGAAAACAAAATCAATTGCCATGAATTATTCCTTTATAATGAAGGAAAATTATGGCAGCCTTTTCATCATTAGCTAATTTCCAAATTGTGGAATCCATCACACTCAAAACAAATTGGCGAAACATGGCAAAAAAAGAAAAGCAACGCGTGATAATATTTCAAACGAAAACTCGAAATACCAAGCCACGATATTTCAAATGTTAAATTCTTGAGCTTGATATTTGGCATGCTGTTGTAGAATTGTTTTCTTGTCATTTTATATTCATTTTTAAATGATGCCACTCTAACAGAATAGTACCGTTAAAAGTTACTTGCTCTTTTTTTTTTTTTTTTTTTTGTTTTTGTTTTTTTGTTTTGTTTAAATTTTCAAGTAAATTACAAATGCAAAAGTTGTGTGTAAATGAGTAAATTTTAATGACTAGTCTAATACACAAAATGCAATGTGTGCTGTTTTCTTCTGCTCCAATGACCAGATAGCATCTTTTTTCCTGTATTGCTTTGCGAGATGTTCTTTCATCGGACTTCTTTATGATTCTCCCAACTACAAGAGCAATTCTCTTTATTTACAGGACTGCAAGGTAGCATATGCTTATGAGCTTAATAAAAAAAATAAAGAAGTTTCTGGAAAATTTTTTGTTTAAAGAAAAGAAAAAATCTGAAGATTTTTTTTAAAGCTCCTGAAGAAGAGACTTGTCCGATTGTCCTGAAATTCAATACTTATTCCAAAACCTATGTCAAACTAAGGTCGCTTTTTTGCCTAATTCTAAATGGTTTACTAAAATCGGAACCAAGCTGTTTGGTGATTTAACCTCTCACCTGGTAATTCTTATAGTCGATTTTGACCATATTTGATGAAAAACTTTATTTTATAATAGTTTGATCATATGAACTGAGTTGTTGATCACAATATTCCATATTTTCATATACAGATGGGTGGGACTTTGGTAAATCGAGAACAACATCCAAATTATAATATTAACAGCAATCACATTAAGTAGTGTTTACTGCATTTCAACTTAAATGATTAACTATTAAGATATTGTTTTTTTAAATCAAATTTAATTTACTTCTACCTCTATATAAGGATGTATACCACTTTACATATGTGTTTGCGCGCAACAGGTTCCTGGTCACAACTTTAAAGGGGTGAAGAACATAAAAAAAGTAATGACTTGAGTGATACAATTTGTAGTGGAATGTAAAATGATGACTTTCTAAGGCAAATAGGCTAGTATCATTTTATTTAAATTGGTTTTCCATAACAGAACTTCAGGAAAAAACTACCACAATATATTTTTAAAATATTTTGCTACTAATGAGCCATAGATTTAGCTGAAGTTTGACTAATTTTACAGTTTTAGACAAAAAAATCTCATTTTGAAATTATTTCTTATAAATAAATACTTTGGGATTTATGTTTAAAAACACTATATTGCCATTCTTCAAGATATTTATTTGATCTTATCATTTTGGAATTTAAATTATAACAAATGGATTCTTCCCCCCCAAAAAAAAAATTATTTTTCAGTATTTTGACAAAATGCATTAAAATTACAATTATGCTTTGAAGCAATTGGTACTTTACTTTGCATTAACAGATTAAAAGGTTTTATGTATTTTCGTAACTTTTAGGAAAGCTTATATGTACAGAAGACAGCAAAAAATGAAAGAAATTAATAATGGAATACATTTTAATTAAAAAAATTATTACATAATACATAAACGCATATACATATATAAAAATATATGTATCAGTTGCATAAAAGACACCCATGTTTCTGATCTAATATGTGAATTTTGTATTAAATTAATTAATCTGTAAGTATTTGAAATTTAAATTTCCTAAAAGCACCACAATCATTAGACTCAGTTTTTAACAAAATTTTATTATTCACAGCAATGCACACTTTCAACATAACATTCTAATACCATACATAATAAGCCCCTTTCATAGACAAAATCACTTAACGCACTGTCAATTGAGTTTCAACTTTTGACTAGAAACAAATGAAAGCAAAATTTTGGTTTTGCTCAAATGTTTCTTGAAATGATCAGCTCAGAAAGACATCTAAATTAGGTATACTGCTTTCTAAATGCAGACAAGATTTATTTCCATTATGACAAGTCAAATGAAAATGAGCCAGCATGTCTTGCAGTCAAATGTTCAGCTCGATAATCTTTTCGTGCATGTGTGTAAAATGTATTCACCTGCTAGACTTGTAGTTGATATATGGTTATAACATTAACTAATGTTTCTGGACTGCACCATTTTGAACACTAGCTTTCCCTACAATTTCAACATAAAGGAAACACTTCAATATAATCCTCTTGGCTCATTTTCATTTGACTAACAATCTCAATTCCTTCTAATTTTGCACCTTCTTATATATTCATAAATGTATGGCTTACAATACTTTTCAGTAACCAATTTATATGTATATGTGTGTGTGTGTGTGTGTGTGTGTGTGTATTTTCATTCTTTAATTTCATTTTCTAATGATATATCACAATATTTTAAAATGGAATGAAATATGTAAATAATGGAAATTACATACTGATCACGTGAGATTTGTACACCTGACATCCTTAAATGCATGTCTACACTTAATACTCTCTGTATATCACTGATATAAGTACAGCATTCTGCCAAAAAATTTCAACCCCACAGAAGTATTCTAGTAATGGTTAAAAATATAAATAAATATTTTTAAAAAATTCATTAATCATTATCTGAATCTATAAAACTGCAACTGCAAATGTTCCTAGTTATTTCTAGTTCAATATTTTGAAATAATTTATTTTGAACAATATAGATAGAATATATTAAGCAGTAATGATCTATAAAATTTGGCATCCAATTATTTTAAAAGTTTCATGACAGAAAACATAATGAATTACTAACTTTTTCTAAAAATGTTTTCATAGCATGTTATATAAATCATAGACAGCTGCATACAATCAAAGTAATATGCTGAAATCCTTTCTACAAATTAGATTCATTTCTCACACAAAAGTTAACTAATCTTTCATGAAAGCATTCTTGCTAATTCACAATAAATTTATTTGCTGACATTTAAAAGTTCAATATAATACCCAAATGTGCATAATTAACACCTTATAAATGCAATTGAATATGTAATGTGTTTTGTGCTTTACCATTCATATTTAGAGAATACAATGTAAAATCTTAATTTAAACATACAGTATAAAAAACTAAAGACACTTGGTTTTTTAATACCACAATTCGTCACACCTCTTTGATTAACAGAGTAACTGCTCCTTTTTATTTAATGCTAAAAAATATTATTAATGAAAGGTAATATGAAAGTTAGTTGTCATTTAATAATTGTATTAAAATTATTGAATATTCATGATACTGTTAAAGCATCTCAATTACTGCATAAAAAGATAAATGCAAATCAAACTCAGAATGAAAAATTTCTTGCTCCATTTCAATATAATAAAACATAAATTTCTCAATTAGCATTCTAATTTTCTGTAGCTTCATATTAAACAAACACTTCTCAATTGAAGAAACAAGTTGGGAAAAAAGTCATTATCATAAAAATAAAACATCTCTCACGGTGAAATCAAAAAAATCCACTTTTCGATGGTGACTCGAACAATAATGAGTGACAGTCTTCATTAATCTCGATGAATAAGTACAAATAGCCCAAGACATCCTAGAACAGCATACTACAAAAAAAATATAATGCATGGTTTTAAATTAAAATTTAATTTTTATTTACATATTTAATTTAGAATGAAAAGCAAATATTTAATTTTTAATAGCGCTTACACTTTTATACTTTTATTAGTTTTCAGGCAATAATATCACACAATCAGATTCCAAAATCAAAAATAAAAAAATATAAAAAAATTACTATACACATTGTAAAGTTATACAATTTAGAATTTAATGTATGAAGGAAAACAATGCTAGAATGAGATGCAAATAACAATTAGCATATTTTAAGTTATATAGAATTATATAATCAAACTTTAATGATATATTCAAAACCACACTAACAAATTAACTATTTGTTCAGCAATGGCCATAATCTTGTCTAATATTGTCATACAAATCTGCATATGTTAAATGTTTTGATCCATTAGTCCCATGCAAGGAAAAAAAAAAAAAAAAAAATCACATAAAAGATCATAGCTATATGACTATACATCTAGTTAAACGATTTAATAAAATAAACAGTCTTGAATCATATTAAATGATACTCTCACAAAATGCCTCAGTTTTAGGTCAAATATTAAGCCTATGTACAAAATTAAATAATTTACTTATGTTCTTGGACTGAATGGCAAACTGTCATTTATTCAAATAATTCAATAAATTGACAAATACACAGGCAAAATAGCTATACGACCCAATGAAAAAAAGACTATATGGTTTGCTCCCAAACTATTTTTGATTAAGGAACTAACTCCAACAGATAAAAATCTGGCATCATCACAAATAGATACCTATAAAAACCTACACTTACCTCAAGAATATTATATAACATAATCTGAAATAAATATACCAATTACAAAATCATAGGCATCTATCACATTAATAGACATCTCTGAGTATTCATAAGACTCCAATTGAGATTTTCCTTAAATATTTGCTTATAAAACAGAACTTTTACAGCACACACTGGTGTGCAAAAATTAAGGACGAGACGGTTTTTTCAACATAACTTTGTACAAAAGCTTTCCAAATCAACACATTTAATACCGTAAGATCTCCAATACGTAAGGACATGAGTAATGTAAGCAATACTTACTTAAAAGAGAAATCAGAGGGATAAAAAGAAGCTTTATTGAAAAAGTAGCATGGAGCGCAATGCGACTGAAGGCCGAAACATCCCCTGTGATGGGTGTCCAGCAAGAAACATCCGGTCTTTAATAGGGGATATGATCTCCCCTGACTGCTAGGCAGGTTTCACAGCATCTGCCCATGCTGAGAATGAGGGTGTCAATGAGTTGTTGAGGCATTGCTGCCCATTCGTCTTGCAGCGCCAATTGAAGCTCCGGAATCGTTACTGGTGGTAAGGTACGAGCTACCAAGCGTCTGCCTAGAAAATCCCATACATGCTCGATGGGATTGAGATCCGGAGATTGTGCCGGCCAATCCTCTCTCTCTAAAAAAAAGCTGTTCGGCAGCTACTGTGCGATGACATGGTGCATTGTCGTCCATGAAAAGGAACTGCGGACCCATAGCGCCTCTAAAAAGATGCACATATGGAAGAAGAATCTCGTTACAATAACGGGTCCTGTTGACTGAACCTGTGTTGAAGATGTGAAGGTCTGTATGACTACCAAGCATGATGCCTCCCCAAACGAGAACACCGCCACCTCCATACCTGTCCCTTTCAATGATGTTCGAGGGATGATTGTGGCTTCTCCGCTCTCTCCAGGTGAGTATGCGATGAGAATCGCTACTCAGACTGAATCTGCTTTCATCTGTAAAGAGTACTCGTCCCCACTCATTGTCTCTCCAATTCCAGTGCTCCCGGCACCACAGAGAATGCCTTCTCCGATGGGCAGGCGTTAGAGGTACACACCGTACAGGGCGTCGTGCAAACAGACCACCACCGTGCAGTCTTCTGGCCATGGCAAAACGCGGTATCGGTCGTCCAGTCGCCTGTGTCGTGTGTCTAGCGATTTCTCCCGCTGTCTGCCGCCTGTTTCTTCTGGCCTGTAAGGCAATATACCGGTCATCTGCAGGTGTGGTTCCTCGTGGACGACCACTACTGAACCCCCAGATAGCTGTTCCTGTAGTTTGAAATTGTCTCCAAAGTCGTGAAACGATGTGAGCAATTCCGAACTCTGCAGCCACACTTGTCACACTGCGTCCTTCCTCCAACTTCCCAATGATTCGACCTCTAAAAGCATCCAGATGTGTCTAACAGATTTATTATTCGCCATTTCTCACTGAGGCAGCAACTCGGTGTGATTTTAACTGCTATATGGCGTGCAATCTCTTTGCCAGAAATACTGATCTTACACCGACAACATGCTTTATACTACTCAGACACTCCCCCATTACGTCTACCTGCATATCTGCGCATGTGCTACCGTACATCACCTTACTTAATCTCCTGACTGGTCTTTCTGTCCGCTCTGCCTCTTCGTTCAGCTGATATGCTAATTTTTCGACTTCGTCCTTAATTTTTGCACACCAGTGTATAATATACTTAATTTGCCTAAAACAATATATTTTAATCCTTTGATTGCAGGAAAAAAAAAATTTATAAAAGTGGAGACTCTGATTCAAATGAAATCATAAATTCAAGGAATAATAGTGGTTGCCACATTGATAGAAGACAAAATTTAAGTGTTAACATCACCAAAATGTTCCCTGCATACATTCAGGATAAATAGAGAACAAGGATTCACAGCCAGAAGGTTAATAAATGTTTAGGGAAAATGCTTTTTTTTTACATATAATATGATCCAGATTCTTTTTCTACAATCATTTTATATAATAAAAGTAATTATTTTCTTACATATCCTGTTTACAATCAAAAAAATTTAACATTACTTTCTAGGAAGACCAGAACACATAATTTTAAATTATTTAAAGACATATGCATCAAAATTTTTTTTAATACAGTCAAATACTGAAAATCCGCTGATCTGAAATCCGCCAACTCCTGAAATCCACGTTGCCTCTCAGAATGTAAACATTCAGTTTATAGGTTCCAGAAACCGCAACATTGAGTACAAAATATTAAAAAAAAAAAAAAAAAACTTACCGAATAATAATGAGTCAAAAAGGAAATACCAAACAAATTATTGATATAAAAAAGTTTTAAAAAATAAGATAAAATAAATAAGTTTTTTCCCTTTAATCTGTGTTGAGGTAAAAAAGCAGACAATTCACTCAACTCTTTGTTCAAATTCATGATTCACATTGTTGTATTTTCTGAGCTTTGTTATTTCATTTCACAAGATTGTTTAGTGCTGCCTTTTTTTATCCGGATATTTTGTGCATAAATTAAGAATAATTTTAATTTCAGCCCTTTTTACCACAATGACAGATAAGAAACGCACTCATGATTTTACTGCTTGCAATGTTGAAAAAGTAAACATGTTGCATTGACGGTAACGCAAAAAGTGCAAATTCTGCAAAAGATGGAAGCAGGTACTACTCCTCGATTTATAGCAGAATGGTATGGAATTGCGACACGATTGTTTATGATATACAGAAAAATAAAGAAAAGTTGCTGAAATTTTACAGCAACAGTGATTCTAACACCAGAATCCGAAACCGGAAATCTTTGCATGAGGCGAAATCAGCAAACCTCAATGCTGTGTATATATAATACAATGAATAATATAATCAATTTATGTATCAGGGTTTGTACACATTTCCTTACATGAAAATTAAGGACTTTTAAAGACTTTTAAGGACCATCAAAGAAAAAATTAAGGACCTATCAGCAAACAAAAAAACGAATAGAATAAAGCAATTGGTACTTTTCCGTTTCGCCGGCGCAAATCTCGCCAAGCAGACTTTATTGGCGACAACATACAGTATACACATAAAAAATTTTAGTTCTAAGAAGTTTTTTTTTTTTTTTTTTTTTTTTTTAGGCATAAACATTTTAATATCGCTTAAAACTTATAAAAAGCCAATAAATAAAGACAATAAATTTGTAAAAAGACATTAATTTAAGAATTTACTATGCTTTCATGGTTCAACATCCTAATTCGCCGGTTTCATATCACGTGACTCCAAGCGATCTCATCTCACGTAAATTACTCTACAAAAATCTAATGCTCTCCGTAATTATCTACATTAATTTCAAGTTAAATCTTAATTTGGAACACAAGTTTAAATGCAAGAAATATTTCAATGCCTACGAATAGCTTACTCAGAAATTATGTAAAACTGCAGTGCTTTACTTCACTAATGCATTCTCATTAGAATTGATGAATTTAACCCTTGATTTTGCCTTTTCTATATTTTCGGCTTCGGGTGTGATTGCATCCTAATTGACCTAATTACCGAAAATGGCTTAAATGACATAAAACTGAACTATCTGATAAAAATTCTATGTAATTATATGCCGTATGAAAAAACATCATCTGATAAAAAAAGCGACTGTTTGAAAATGAGGCGTAAAAGGTTACCAGCGAGAATATTCCATTGGCAGGTGTCCATTTTGGCGACTTTATCGCTTGCGGCAAACGAAATACAAGCATTATCCATACAACCGACTTCATGCTTGTAATTTCACTTTAAAAAACTAACAGAAGTGTGTATTATGCACTATTATTAAATTCAACTTAATACTTACCATAAAACAATTTTGAAAATTAAACTAACTCCCTACAAGTTATGAAGTAGATAACATTAAATGAGGAACATAATTTCTTGAAAAACATGTATAAGTGTATTTTACACTAATAACAGTCACTATTTTAGAGATTTACATGATTATTATTTAACTTATTTGATATTTATTTAAACATAGTCAACTACTATTATAATCACAATGTAAGAATATTTTGCAGATTAAAATAACTGATTTGTAAACATACAATTTATTTCCTTGGTTTTTTGAAAGATACTAGAATAATAAACTGTACAATAAAAGATACAAAACATTTGTGCTTTTTTTAAATCTGAAATTTTTTCAGCTATTTTAAATCTAATTTAATCTATTTCCTTTTCTTTAACTATTCTTCTAAGTTCATTTGCTTTGATAAACAAATCAATGTTCCTGATGGTCTCAGCTTTATCTGCTAAAGCATCTACTTCTTCATTAATGTCTTTAATGTCCCTTTGAGGAAAGTTTTTCTTCTGCTTCATATAATCAATTTCTTCTTCAATAATATTTCTTTTCCTCTTTGAATTTTCAGATTTAGTTAAAGATTTTTGTTCTTCTAAATACTGAACTTCTAAATAACGAACTCCACTTCTTGCAGAAGCTGCTGCTGATCTCATTTCTTTATTAATTTCGATATTAAGAACACCTCCAGAAAATTTTATGTAATCAAATACTGTGCGTTGAAAAATGTATGATGAGTCACTTAAATTTTCAAATTCAATTGCTTTATTTACAGAGAAGCCCCTTTCCACAGAGGCCTGTTCATGTGACAAGATAAGAATACTTGTCACAGTGAATACTTGAATAGTGAAATATATTACCTATATTATAATTATTATATATATATATATATATATAATATATATATAAAGTCCGAGATCCGGACATCTAATATCTGGAATGATCTAAAATCTGGACCTCAAAGCCACCACCAACCAATTTTTTAGGGCTTTTTTGGAGGGAAGGGGTATGCTTTTGCATGCGCATTAGATTTTTTCCCTCATCATAAAAAAACATGCCAGAAATCCCGATTCTTAATCTCTTAGTTTGGTGCTAAATAAAATATCTCATTATTGAAGAAATAATTATTTTAGCATAAATTTGTGTGATTAGTAACTTGACTCCATAGCTGCGTATCTGCTTGGCATAATCTCAAACCGAAACATTTGTTAATTTTACACCAACTAATATTTTATATCCTTGATGCCGAAATCGCGAATCATTATTTATTGTATTTTGCTTTCATCACCGCATGTTTATCAACGACAATGTTTGATGAATCATGCAGCGATGCCAAATAACAGAGTATTATACGATTACAGATTTAAATTTTAATGCGCTAAAATGTTGACAAGGGGAGATTTAGCAGAAATTTCTTTCCTTATGCTAAAAATAGATTTTGTTAATGATACTCATAGGACAAACGATTATATTTAGTGCTATTTGAATTAAGAATAACTGATTTGTTATTCACATAAAGCCAGAACCAGCTCCAGAGCTCGCATGGCCGCACCAGGCGGCAGAATTTAGCGAAGTTAAACAGAAGTTTTTCATTGCATTGCGATGACAATGCCCAATCATCAATCAATTAACGGAGGGCGGAATCTGTAGTATGGTTCTAAATCCAGAAAATACAGCTACCGATAGTGAAGAAAGTAACAGAGAGGTTACTGAACGAGAAAAAATTTTGATTGACAAGTTATTCGGAATTCTCGACACAGCAATTACAGGACTTGAACAATGGAACTTAATAACTGAACAAGAAATTATATGTCTATAGTATTAGTCTAAAGTATTAGCAGAGAAAACAAATCAAACAACTCACATTGAAAGAAATGTTTATTAAAGTAAACATATAAATATTAAGCTCTTTTCTTTGGTAAATTTTGATACCCTTTAAATCATAAATGCTTCATTATTTCATAAATCACGATTTCATATTTTCAATTTTATAATTTCTACGTGCCATCTTAGTAGATTTAAAATGATCTAATATCCGGAAAAATCTCAAATCTAGGATCGCCGAAGTCCCGACGAGTCCAGACCTCGGACTTTGTACACTGTATATATATATATATATATATATATAATACGGAATGTATATTTTCAGTTAAACTTCTACCCAATAACTTTAGTAATTCATGAAAGTTAATTTTGCGTCTAGTTAATTCAGGAAAATTAGTTTCAATTAGTTGTTTTCAGCTTTAAAAATATTTAAAAAATTTTTAATTAGTTATTTTCAACTAATAATTGTATCGCCATTAGCAAAAATTATGCATTACTATCAAAAACATAGGTTTAAACCAAATACTTAATTGTCTATTGAAGCTTCAAAACGTATTTCCGAACTTCACTTTTTCTCAGCTAGCGTTACCGATTTTGCCCTTGGCGACCTAAAATCGAAATGGAGCCAACAGATTTCCCGCGAAATCGATAACAGACCCTCTGCAGAAATAAACTCATAATCCCGATATCCCATACATATAGTATGTGCAAAAGAGAATAAACTCCGTAGAAGGTGATAAAAAATTAATTTATGGCTTAATTGAAACAAACACAGAAATTAAGCTAAGCAAAACCGTGTAAAAACAAATTGAAATGATAAAACGAAACTTAATTTTAATGTGAATTTTCAGTGCTGACTCTCCCATTCTAGAAATTTCAATTTGTTTCAGACAAAGACCACATTTAAGGATTGCCATCCATCAATATCCAGTCTTTGTAGTCAGCTTGATGAAGCCACAGTTTATTGAAAATGCACTTTCCAGGCATCTCGTTCCTATTGGCGTCGGAAGGGTTGTGGCCTTCCAGGTTGGAATTGCTCTAGTTTTGGCAAATATTTTCAGAATCTCCCCCCTCCCCCCCTTTTTTTTTCTCGAGCACCTTCATCATCACTTTCGCCTCTTAAAGAACTTCCAGCTTCACGCTTTCGTCACAGTCTGCCTAAATTTATGGATAACACCTGTTTCGAAAGATTGCGTGAATAGCCAATCAGACACCGATACTTTCGTTCGGGTAGCTAATTGTTTTTTTTTTTTTTTTTTAATCGTTTGCAATGCAAATCCGCCAACAGATTAGTTAAGAGCTGTGTAATTTTAATTCCATATTCATGAGAAATCGTAATTCACACTTAGAATGGCAATCATTAGAAATAATAAGAAATGTCAAATGAGCAAAATTAAGGATCGTTTATTCCTTTTGGCCAAAATTAAGGACTTTAAGGACCAAAAATCATTTTTGAAAAAATTAAGGATTTTAAGGACCGTACGAACCCTGTATATTAATGATATAATATTAATGTATACTTCTACAAACTTTAGGATATTATGCTTTATCTTTTCTGGCCTAAAATCCGCAAAATCCTAAAATCCACACAACCTCTGGTCCCAAGCTTTGCGGATTTCTGGAATTCTACTGTATTAGGTCACATTAATCTATTATTATAATATTTAAATAGCATATTTTAAACTTACTTTGAATTTTGGATAGTCATTCATCAATATAGTAACTATACCAACATAAGGTACAAACCTATAAAAAATAATATGATTAGATCAATTACAAATAATTATTCAAGTACAGTGTAACATCGGATCATGAATGCCTCTCATCATGAAAAAGAACAATTTAAGGATAAATTATTTGAATAAAACTCAATGCAGGTGATGAGTGGTGTCTTAAATTATAACTTAAGATAACAACAACAATTAGTGACAACTTGCATATTAAACTATCACTCTGAACTTAGTCACAAGCTTATTCCCTCCACAGAGTTATGCAGATTTTGAGAATAGCACAGGGATTTAAGCAATTAACTGAAACTGGTTAGTTGGTGGCTAACCTGCAGTTGTCTTATGTTGAATGTCTGATCTCGCCTGAGTTGGAGTCTACCTGGAGAAAGGCAGCTAAGTTTGGTCATAGGAGTGGCACAGGTGGATGGAACCAATGGAAGCAGTTGCTGTTGATTATCCATGCTGAAGTAAGTAGTGATAAGAAAAGTCCTTTTCAAATCGGTAAGCTAACTATTTTATAGCTAGTTTGATAAAAAGCAATGAAATTTGGTTCCTCGTAGGCTTATCTTTGAAATGTGAATTTTAATTTTGTCAAGCAGACTGTTATCTTTATATTTTTGTTTCTTTATCTCAAGAGGAGACTCATTAAGGTTTTAACGTTATTAATTCTTGTTCTGCATACAGATATCCTTTCTATTTTGATAACTCAGAAAAGGAAGTTAGTTGCACTTTGCAATTAGATTCCATAAAACCAGCTGTATTGATTATATTAATGCAAACATCTTAAAGTAAACCACAGCAGAAAAGTGCCATTAACTTAAGCAACATTTTATAGCAACAACTGATTTTTTAAAGACTCAACCTTTAACACAGAATGACATTCAGAAACTTCTAGAAACATTTTAAACCTTAAATGATAAATGTTCTGCAATAGTAAGCAGTCGCAGAAAAAACAAATCTGAAGCATTTTGTTGTCTTCTTCAAATACAGTTACTTTCTCTGCCTGATACTGCATTCTCTTTCTCTGTAAAATTGGAAACTTATTGTGTTAAATCACAACCCTGCAACATCGACACCCATATAACTTCTAAAGCATCAAGAAGAGAGGGGCAATTCTGTTCTTCAACAGAACTTCCCGAGTTGAAAATTCCTGTAATTTTTTTGGCGGGCGGGGGGGGGGGGGGGGGGGGGGGGGGGGGGGGGAGGTGTTTTTTGCAGCACTTATTGGTAGCAGTCACTTTGGGAAAAGGAAAATATGCTTTGCAGTGAAAACTGGAGGTATTCACTTCTTGCCACTTGGGCTAATCATATGTTAAGCATTTGAGGATGCCAAGCATAGTCAGGTGAATAACAGAAAGGATTAATATATTCTGCTGCCCATTTCTCATCAATAAAATCTAGCAGCAAGTGATTGACAGAACCATGAATTTTAGCAAGAAGGAAGTTATGGCTTGTACTGCAGGTAGGCTTTAAGAGTTCTGAGGAATTTTTTTTTTTTTTTTTTTTTTTTTTTTTTTTTTTTTTTAAATCTATGATACTGTGTCACTAAAAAAACCGTCAGCTTAGAAGCTGGCAAACGAAGACACTGAGGAATTACTTGGCAATAAAAAAATATATATATAATTTTTTTTTTTTCTTAAATGAGGTCATCTAGAAAGAAGTGGAACAGTTATCAGAAACAGCAATGAAAGGCATCTATGAAGCAAATATCTTCACAGCAAGAGGAAGGAATGAAACATGATCTTAGGTCTTTAATCTATGAAATCTGTCCTAAATGGGGTAAGGTGCACAGCTTTATGTAATGATATCACACTGATGAAGCAAGAGCAAGGTACAGCATAAACATTTCCAATTATAATACTGTGTTTCCCTTTTGAAACAGCTTAAAATGTGAAAAACACCAAAGAAGTGGAAGGTTAAGGAGTCTTAAGCACAAAACAGGGCTACTAAAAACAAAGAAAAAGAAAATAACCTACAAAGACAGTTATTTGATGATTTTATGGAAGGGTACTATTCATACTTCACTCTTTTCTCTTCTTTCCATTTATGCCTTCTTTCTTTTCACTGGCCACTCTTCATTGTACAAGAATGATAAAATTAAATTATTCATACTTCTGCTTTGTCTGTTTAATAGTATTTTCATCCTTTTCATTTTGTCATAGACTTAATAATTTCATTAAATTTGTCTTACATATTTGTGCACTGTTTTCAAGTTTACATAAGTAGTTATCTGTGGTCCACAAACAGACTTATTCCACATTGATTTGTATGGGAAAAATAATTTTTGTTTACTAATAATTCACTGGCAAATGGTCTTCAGGAATGTATTACATTCATGAGCCAAGGTTTCATTCTGTTAGAAAATTCTGTACCAGTCAGATTGTCAAAAATATATATTTGCACAATATGTTGCACAGTGCAATTTTTTAAAGAAGGAATTCGGTACAACCATCTTGGTGCAATTTGGTGATTTTTTACGGATGAAAAGTTACTTAGAATGTGCGAGTTGGTAGTTTTCACACAGTCTTTCTCAGAAAGATTCCCAAACTATCAATATTAAATTTAGGGTTGCCACTCAAACAGGAGAATGAAATTCGCTGACTTTTCCAGGATTTCCAAGTGTGTTTTAAGAAAATTCCAATCTATCCACGTATGGCTGTGCTAAGAGGTAAATTAATTATGGTACAACCTGAAAACACAAAACTTTGCCAATTACATGTGACTTATATATATGTATATAATATATATAATCCCCAAAGCATTAGTATTATAACTATAATAGGAGTTGTTTTCTTTACTGAAGCTTGAGCTTACAATCTGCCCAATCTGGATTTTAAAATGTCTGTTTTTGCTGACATTTTGCAGCTAAACAAAAGAAAGAAATCTATTTAATGATATTTTTAAATAAATTGAGGTATTTTATATTTATTTAGCAGCATACATAACCAAAAAATGTGTGCATTCAATTTCATGATGGTATGTCATCATACTGCTAGAAATGGTTTCAGGATTATGCCAGAGAAAATTTCCTGAAATCTGAAAGCATTATTTACTAATAATAAATTAATTTAGAGGGAAGAAGCAACATTAAATGATATGAATATTATTAAAATAAAGATAATCACTTAAAAAGTGAATTAAAATAAATAATTTTGGCAAATATAGTTATATTAAATGGTTAGCCTAGGTAACTGATTACTATTTTTTTTATTATTATTTTATTGCAAAATGACAAATAAGGCATTTATTAAAAAGAGGGGGAAAAAAAGGTTTAAATGATCTTGCGGTAAAATCCTAGTATACGCTATGGCCTTGGCACGATTTTGAAAATTGTCGTCAACACCAAAATGACCCGTTTACTGCTCATCAAAATGTCACCAAATCTTGTGCATACTGTACATGGAGGTTAGAATAGAATACATGGAGGCTACTCTAACCTCCATAGTACCATATACTAGGATTAAACCAATTTTGTTTTATGTGAGAATCCGCTAATGCGCCTTTGGGCATAATGTAAAATCTGAAAGCTTTCAGTTTTTTTTTTTTTTTTTTTCCATCAATCAGATAAATTAAGTTTGGCCTATATTGGCTTAGAGAAAAGTATTATATATTTATAAGAAACTGCAAGCTGAAACCTTAAAAGCTTAGATCTTTGAAGAATTTATTTTTTAACTAAAAATATATTAAAAATGTAGAAGATAACGAAAATATTTTGTTTTACTTCTTAAATAATAATACAAATTGTTGTCAACTCATAAAACTAAATGTTTACTATTAAATAAAATTTAAAAATTTAAATTGTTTAAAAAACCTGATGCTTCAAAATTTAATAAAATGGTCTGAGTATCAAAATATTAAAGAAATATATCAAAAAGAATCAATTAAAAAAATAAGAAAAAAAAAATAATGCCGAATTTCGACCACTTAATCTGTGAATGTGTGTAATATACATTTAACTTTGAATGTGAGTAAACAAAATTTAGATTTTTAAAAAATTCAGTATAGCAAATTTAACAGCCATTTCTTTTCATGGCTCTTTATCGATTATAGGGACCATGAGGCAACATGTACGCACCATGCCAAATTCTGGTTTACACCAACTATTGATATTATAAATAGGTAATAAATTTAAAAGTTGATCAAACTCCATAATAATTTTCATCATGTTTGTGATGAATTTATGGTATCAGATAATATCCTCAACAAATTCAGAAAAGCAGTCGCTAACACATAATTCCTATAACCAATACGAACCTTTTCCTTGCATATGAAAATAAACATTTTAATAAGAAATTTTTAAGTATTTTGAATTTAATAAGAAATTCTGAATTTGCTGGTGATTAATTTTTCACTCAACTCATGCAAGAAAGGTAAAAGCCATTTTAAGATGCCACCATATTAAGAATTCCATACAACAATACCAAGCAATAAAAATTAAAAATATCAGTAATAAAACTCTTAACCTTTTTCAAGAAATCTTTCTTGTGCTGTCGTTCTTCCCATGTACACAGTAATCTCTTTCTGCTTTAAAAAAAAATCAGAGGATTGCACAATCTTGGCATTGTACAACTTTGATATTGCATACTAGTCAAAAAAGGCAAGTTACATGCATGAATGAGTAGCCACAACTTTTTTCGCAACACACTGCTTTGCCTCGTGAATACTTTTTCGTGAATTTTCAGGGAGAGGTAATCAAAAAGTACCAAACAAAATTATTTTCTGTCAATAAATCTAAATTTTGGTAGTCACATATTAACACAACAACTTTAGCAGAAGTCATCAAATTTTCAAAATGTGCCACACTCTGGCAACCATGCTCATAACTTTGTCTTAAACTTAGTTTTAAAATATGAGCTTGTAGAATTTGCCATCAATGGAAGACACTGCAATAAAATTTCTGCGAGAATACAGGAATTTGCTGAAAATTTTCTAAAGGGAACAATGAGGAAATGCATTTCCAAGACAGGTGCTGCTGCCAAGGTTTGCATCTGCATAATGCAAGAGTCTCCACAATTCTCTGATGCTTTTTTCAGTGAAAACAGATCACTCTGTATATTGGGAATCCAGTAGTGCAAAAAAAATTACAGAAAGTTCTGAAAATGAATCGAAGCGTTATTTTTTAAATATATCAAGCAATCCTTATTTAATAATTTGTATTTTAAATTGCTAAAGAATCTTTCATATGTTCTTCTTTTCATATGCGCATAATGTTTACCAACTTACAAATAAACATCGATAGTTTAGGAATATTTTCTAAAAAAATGCATGAAAACCACAAACTTGCACCCCATAAGTGACTTTTACCTTTTTATCTATAAAAAAAGGCCAGATTGTGCTAAGAGGGTTGCATTAATATATAACTATTCAAAATTTTAATTCTAATATTTCTTACATTGACACCAATACAACTGTGCACGCATGGAACACAATGGCATAATTAGCATAGGAATTTAAGAAATTTTTTTTGTCAGTGTTTTGTAAACAGGGTGTTTTTTTTTTTCCCATGTTTAAGAAGATAAAAATTAATTTAAAAATAATTTTGTTCATGGATGTGCAATTCTTTTACATAGATGTCCGATATCTTTTTACAAAAAGAGTTTTTTACTTTGTCAAGATTTCCCCACTAAGTTTTCACTTTGTAGTGACATTTTCTTTGTATGCAATTATATTTAGAAAATTAATAGTTTTATACTCAGTAAACTTTGATTAAATAATTATAAAATCATATGAGCATGTTTTAGTTAGCTATTTATATCCAAACAATCTGGACTTAATGTAATAATTAGAAATGCAAAAAATTTAAAAAAAAGGACTTGATCTATATTCCACAAAAGTTGCTAATCCGTACAACCTCTACAATTGAAATGTACAGATTGTTAGAATTCTACAGTATACTTTCACATTATTACAAAATTGCAACAGCATCATTTGATTTTATTTTGGATGCATGTAAAAAATGTACGGCAAAAAAAGTTTGAAATTTTGTATCAATGTATAATACAGAGTATTACAAACTTACGCACTTATAGTATAATATTCATTGCAAAATATAAAAAGAACAAATAAAATAACTTTTGAAGTGATTCACCTTCCTATACTGATGAGCAATGCATTTTCATTACATCAAAAATTAAAAAATATTATGCTTTATGAGTGGGCAACAATAACCTTCTGTTTCTGATCTTTATTTGTTATAGAAAGGATTTTATTACAAACTGAGAACAATAAAACTTTTTTAGTATATTATTATACAACAGCTTTTCAAAAAGGAAATACATAAAAGACAGGTTTTATATGCTTCTGTATAAATATTATTGTAAAAGATGTCAGACAGGCAGGATTATTTTGTGTCAATGAGACAGAAAAAGTAAAGGTGGATATTTAAAATATATAACAATTACCCTCGAGCCCGTCCAACAATATCTTTCTTCTCCAGCCACAGTTGGCCTGGTGCATATAATCCTCGATCATCAACAGAATTATTATCACCTTTCGTCAGGATTTTAACTGTGCCATTTGATCTAAACAAGGATAAATATAAATTAATGAAAAATTATAGAAAATGGAATAGTAAAATTTACTAACTCTTAATATTCAAACAGCAATAAATTTTAAAAATTTTTACAGTAGAATATAACAGCATTAACCTCTTCACAACAGGTGTATCATATATAAATCAGTACTTAATCCTCTTACACGATGGCATGCTACTTAGTGGAACTCACCTTGGAGACTGTGTGTTGTTGCAGTAGTACGATCTCGCAAGACAGATTATTTCGCGTCACTAAGCCTAACTTTTAAAAAATTATTAAAAATACCTTTTTATCAATTATTTTGACTTTTTCTGTAATGGCATCTAACAGTACTATAATCACATGTCTCCCACATAGAAATGGATGGGATACATATGTTCCCCACATAGCAACCAACTTACTATATACACGCACACCTATTATTTTGGAAAACTTTATTATATGAAATAGATTTATACTGTATGGTACAGGGTACAACATTCTTTGCATAACCCAACATTACACATTGGGCAGCTCATATTTGATTTTTTCTCTATGTTCATTTGTGTACAACGAACACAGCGGCGTCTTGCTTTTCCAACTATCAGAAGATGTTCCCCAGCAATCAGGAGATTCTAAGTATGTTTTAGCCCAGCAGTAATTTTTTAAATTTTAGTGGGACATGCATGTCCCAGTAGTAGTCAAAGGGTTAAGTCTATATCTAAAACATGCATAAAAAATAATAAAATATATGATTAAATATTATAGCATAAGTGATTTAGAAAGGAGACAGTGTTCGATAATCTAGTCACTATCATTTCATTAGTTCTGAAACACATTTTCAGGTCGAACTTTTTAATTATTCCCAGCAAAATAATGAATCCTAGGAATCCCCTCATTTTAGGCATATTTACAGGCGTATGTTGATTTTGGGTCATCTTCACCCTCACTTTTTGTTTACAGAAATTATTATCGCCTTCAACTATTATGTTTATTAGAAGATCGAAAAAAGGGTGAAAAAATTAATTTCATTCACATAGTTTTTTGATTTAATTTTACTTCAACAATTCCCGTAAATTCACAAGGCTTCAATTACTTAACAGATCAAGTTCACGATGGAGTAGCCACTGTTCTGCTGGATTGTGAGGTGAAAGCAACCAATTCAGTCTCTGACAAAATTTCGGGCCTAAATCACTATTCTCACTTAAATCTAGAGCAGCGGTTCTCAACCTTTTGACTAATACATACTATCTAAACAAAAAGTGAAATATTTTAGTGCCACCAGAACATTTTACAGTGGTTATATCTCAATAGAAATATTTTAAAATTAAATATGCACACATCAAAAATATTAGATTAAAAATTGGTTACAATTGTAATTATTAGAATTTAAATTATAATACTTTTAATTCTAAAATTTAATGCAAAATTTGGGCCTGTTTAAGAGAGATCAATTTCTTTATGTCTGGTCTTATTTCACTTAGTTTTAACCGTAAATTAAGATCCACTTTTAAATTTGTTATGTATTTATTTTTCAAATATAACATGGAAGAAAATCCTTGTTCACACAAATAGGTTGTGCAAAAAAGGCAACAAGAATTTAACATTTAATAGCTTTATTTGAAATGCCTTTATTTTTCTTTTTTGTTCAGCCAAAAGTTAAAAAATGTGTTATTTTTGAAAATTTCAGTTAGAGTTTGATCACAGGAAATTTCTGCCAATTGTTCTTTTTCTTCACAAGATCAAATTTCAGGTACATCTGAAAAAAAAAAAAGAAAAGAAAAGAAAAGAAAAAAGAAATTTCTAATCCAATTATCTTTTTCATAATCTTTGGGAAAATACATGTTGAAACTACTTATCAACAAAAAAACAATGATTTTGAATGCTGGATGTTAATTCTTTTAGTTTCAAATTATTTTCGGTTAGAAAACTTTCCAAACCTGGCAAAAAGCTTAATATACTATTATCCAATTCTTTAGTTGGTTAGTTAACTTTTTTTTATCATTGCATTTATTTTATATCTAATGGTAAAAAATTTAACACTTTGTCCTTGTAATCTTAAATTTAATTTAACTTGCCAAACATATCAGCTAACTATGCTAAATGCACCAATCATACTTCATTAAATAAACATTTTTGCAATTCAGATTTTGAATCACAGAAAAAAATTTGAATTTCTGATCAAAGTTTTCGATAAGACAATTTTAAACTTTGCCTCTGGATAACCACCTTATTTCGGAATATAACAAAAGCATTTCATGTTCACTGCCCATCTCTTGGCATAAAATCGTAAATATTCTTGAATTTAAAGCTCGTCTATTAATAAAATTAACAATTTTCATAGCTTGATTCAAAATAATTTTCAGGTTTTGGGGAAAAACTAAAGCTCCATGATAAATGGAGCAGTGAATCAATTTAGTTTCAGGTGTGACATTTTTTATTTGAGAAATAACACCGGAACGTTTTCCTGTTAAAGCCCGAGTTCCGTCACTGCATACAGCAATGCATTTATTCCAACGAACATCATTCTCGTACATAAAATTATAAATTACTTTGAAAATTTCATTTGCAGTTTAAAATTATCATGAACATATTTAAAATTATAATGAATATATTAATAAAATAAATACTCTACAGTAATTCGTTTATCTTCTTCGAAAGGTACGTAAAGTAATAATTGAACAAAGTTTGTTATATCAGTACTTTCATAGAACTGCAATCCAAAATACTGTGTTTTATTTTTTGAGTAAGTGCACCATTTACACAATTTGCAATTTCATGAATTTGTCAACTTACTGTATCATTTGATAATGGAATATTATTAAGTTTATTTTAGCCGCTTTTTCACTGAATAATGGTAAAATGATACCTTTAGCTGTTGGTAATATATAAGGTTTTCTCCAATAGTGTAAGCATGCCAACTCTTGGCACTTCTTAAACTTACTAGGTAACAAGCTTTCATAGCTTTTTCACTTGAAATAACTAAACCTTTCATTACTTGTTTACTATTTCAATAGTTCACCACAAACAACACATTGACACTGAGAGTCCATTTCATCTCCACTCCGGGTAAACCCAAATGATAAATAACTTTCATTATATTTTCTATAAACAATTTTTCTTTGTTTTTCAATAGTCTTACTGCTAGTAGATTGTCCTGGATCCATCATCTGTGAATCATCCCTTTTCCATTTAATCAATACTAGGCATTTTATTATTTTGAAGATGTAGGTTTTTTTAATTATTTTTTCACAAATATTTAAATGCACAATATATTACGAGTTCTTCAAAAACAAACCATGATATTCTTGAATTGCTTAGAAAAGTAAGAAATACAGAGCAACAAGAAGACAAAATACCTGCTGTTACAGACAGCAAATCAGTGAAAAAAAATTATTCTAATTCAAAATACAACAATACGAGTCTGGAAATGGTGACTACATAAAAGTGTAAACATGCTAATAAATCAATTAACTCTAAAAGAATATGAGATACCATTATCTTTTTACTGGAATGCACTTTTATTTCCTATTGCGTAGAAAAGTAAAGGGGCTATAATATCGAGTGATGCGCGGTGAGGCAGGACATTTCTGAAAAATGAGATTCTAGTAGCACTGGTTTAAATGCAAGGTTTCCGAAAAATGTTTCGTCTAGCCGAAGAAGTGGCTTCCCGGCTATGAGGAACATTTTGAAACTTTCCCGAAAACGTTTCATTCGCAGCTGTGTTCCACCTAGAGATTAACCAATCAGAAGTTCTGCTTCTGAAAGATCATGGATAATTTTCAATATGGCAATGGCTGCAACTGTGAGAATCTGAATGTTGGAAATAGAAGCTGATTTAATTGAAGAAATATGGAAAAAACCATATATATACAGTCAAAAGTCTTTAATCCGGAATGATTTATAATCTAGACCTCAAAACTACAAACTTTCTGCGCATGCGTTTATGCACAATACCTTTACGCATGCGCGTATTACGTTTACGCATGCACGTTTAATGTATAACGGACGGTATAAGCTAAGCTAAAATTATATATTTCAGTTAATGTTGCAGATTGCATTGTTCCTTAATCTTCTAATTAGATGCAGCTTATTATTTTTTTGCAGACTGTTAGAGCAATTTTATAAAAGTAAGCTTGAACTTTCGATTATGTCAAAAGAATTTCCGATTCTGGAGCTACTAAAGGATCTACAAAGCGAAAGCATATTTCGATGTCCATCAAACAAAAAGTGGAATTGTTGCAAAAAATGGATAAAGGCATGAAGAAAGTGACAGAGAGGTGATTTGTTTCTCTAACCATTCCGAAATCTGTATCAATTTCATGCTGCTCTGCAAAGGGGGGGGTTGCGGCGCGCAATGAACTGGAAGTTGATCTGTCAGCACTATCCTTATCTTCAGGGCAGATGTTTTTATTTTATTCCGCTTATAATTCCTTACTAAATGTAGTATTTCATCTCGTTGTACTCCGTCTTTGATATGATTTAAATCGAATTCCTCGTCATTATGAATATCGCGAATGCACATCAAATAGTTTTCTGGTTGCAATTTTCTAATTTTGACAATGCATAATGTCTGCTTTATGCATGCGCGTTGAAAGAAATGTTTAATAAAGTAAACAAAAAAATATTAAGCTTTTTTTTTTTTTTTTTTGTAAATTTTGATACCCTTTAGATCATAATCGTTCTTTATTTCATAAATTACAGTTTCATATTTTTCATTTTATAATTTCTGCATGCCATTTTACCAGATTTAAAGTGATGGATGATCCATAATCCAGAAAAACCGATAATCTGGAATTGCCGAAGTCCCAACGAGTCCGGTTTAAAGACTTTTGACTGTATAGCTGTTTTGTTGTCATATAACTAAGTCATTTTTAAAATGTTTACATATTCATTAAATTTATAATCGTGAAATTTTAGAGTATACAGTATTTTATGAAGTGCTATTTCTAATGATTTGTTTACAAACTATTTGTCGCCAAAATTCAATAAATATGTTGGACTTCGTGCTGATCGTGTGAGAAGAAAAATTATTGTCATATAATAGAATTTTTTTATTAAATTTAAGGTGAATAATTTTTTTTAAATCTGTTTGTATATGTACGAATTTACTTTTCTGCTAATTACTTTCACTACTTTTAAATTGAAACTGCATAATCAGCAATTATGTATATTTATTAAAACATAGATTATGTAATAATGAGGATACACATTAAATTTGTATGCTACTATCTTCATGTTATTAATGAAATGCTTTTTAGATTATAAACATATTAAGAACTATATTTTTATTATAAATGATACAAATTGAAACATTGGAAATGTATGGATTTATTATTATGAATGATGAAAAACATTTGTATATATATTCATTAATATAAATCTTATTGGTACCAATAAGATAATAATAACAGCACCACAGCAGTATATTAATACCACCGCAGCAGAATTCGAGCTAATGCGGCAATAAAGAGCAATCCTGTTGTTCGCACGCAGTTATCTTTTGGATTCCTTTTTGCCTTGTTATTTGCTGGAATGCTACAAAAATGCGTCTTTGGGATGTGCCAAACACAGAAGAAGATGCAATTTTATTTTTTCAGGAGCGAAATATTTTACCAAAAAAATGAAAATGTACCAATTTGCATGATATGAAACGTTATTTTGGAAACTTACATTTTGGAAATGTAATTTAAGACAGTTGGTTTGAAGGAAGCAGAATTCCATTTTGTTAAGCTTTGAGATTCATATACTGTTGGTGCGAGTTGATGTCGATTAAATTTTGTGAAAAGCAACTTGATTTATCGAATAAAACTGTTATAGATTGGAACAATTACATGCGTGAATTATGTGTCTTGGATATAGAATAAACCAAAGAAGAAGCTAGGTGGACCAGATTGCATTGTGGAAATTGATGAAAGTTTGTTTACTTAGGGTAAAAAAAATTGTGATCGAGTATTACCCAAACAGTGGGTGTCTAGTGGTATATGTAAAGAAACAAAAGATTCATTTGTTGTCATTGTTCTTAACAAAACTGGCTCTATCCTTCTTAATAAAATTATTGAAAACATTGCAGATGGTAGCACAATTTATTCTGATAGTTGGAAAGATTACCAAACAAATAGAATAGAAAAAGAAGGATTCCTACATGCTAAAGTTAATCATAAATACAATTTTATTGATCCCGACACAGGAGTTCATAAACAAACAGTTGACAGAATGTGGGGCAGTACTAAATGGAGGAACAAGAGACATAGGGGGACAGCGGGACATCATTTAGAATCTTATTTAGCAGAGTTCATATGGAGACAGCATCAGGTAAAAAAAAATAGAGACTGTTTTGAATCTATGTTAAACTCTATGTCAGCCCATTTTCCACCGAAATTCGATTGACTACTTTGATTTTAAATAAAGTGTTTTGATTTTAAAGTGTTTTAATTTACGATTTGTCACAAAAATTTTAGGTGCGGATTGGCGGCACTTAAAAACTACCAAATCTGCAGCTGCGGTGACGTTAATACTCAAGTATCATCTTATTCATTACATTAATACTAATAAACATACAAAAATTTTAGGTGCAGATTGGCGGCACTTAAAAACTACCAAATCTGCAGCTGCGGTGACATTAATACTCAAGTATCATCTTATTCATTACATTAATACTAATAAACATACATGACCAACTTCTAAACCACCAAATCTCTCTCTATGTGCATATGTAAATATACGATTTATTCGATAGTGTGTGTATATATACAATATATATACATATATGAATACAAAAAGTTATTTGAAGTTACTTTTAATTTATATAATGATCATGTAATTGGCAGCAAGTGTAGTCATCAGTTCTTTGCACATTATCATGGACATGAAATACACAGTTGAAAAATAATTGAAGTGCATTTTGTGCATTAAACTAGTCATTAAAGTTCCCCATTTACATATACCCTTTGAAATTGTAATTTACTTGGTAATTTGAACAAAAAAACTGAGCAAGTAGCCTTTACGAAATATTTAACATTTTGGGGATAAAATAAATATTTTTCACTCATCACAAAACATATCAGTAAATGGCACTATATTCAAATAATAAATATTATTAATATTTATAACAAAAGAAAAAATCAGCTTTAATAAAATTTGAAATTAAAAATCTATTGATCTAAAGAAGATGCAAAGTGAACACAAATCGGAGTTCCTAAAACCACAGCTCCACTCTCAATCTTCCCATTGAAAAAAAAAAAAAAAAAATTGAAGCACAGAATCTGTTCAATGTTTATATCACGTGAAGCCACAACCGCCGTCAGCACAGCAATGTACTAGTGCATCACCCGGCTGCTTGCGACATTAGGGACTGATGCATATATGACACACCCATCCGCAGAGGGTTTTCAGTTCAGCAACATGCCATCATGAAGGGGTTAATAGCTCCTAAATATAATGATCTCTCAACAAGAAAACAGAAAATACTTTATTCAGCATACTTTTCATGGATTTTAAGAACTCTATGAACTATAGGTATGTCACGGCCTTCAACTTTAAAGACTACAATATCACCCACACGTACTGGATCATCTCTGTGATTAGTCAAAAACAGAAGGTCACCTCTATGAAAAGCTGGCTCCATACTTCCACTGTATAAGGAAAGGAAAAGTGGTATTAAGATATATAATTTTAAACATAAACAAATTTGAAAATATTTTTAAGAAATTAAATAATAGAAGACATAATTGTGAATGTAGCATAAGAGCTTGAATTTTAAATTATGTAAAAATTAGATTTCATTTACAGAATATTTAGAATTCTAGAATTCATTTTAAATAAATTTATTTCAAGAGAATATACAGATGTTTTAAAGAAACTAATCATTCTGTACAATTTTGAAAGAACTTCATCCCTTTGCTTAACTGAGAAATATTGTTCTTAATTACATCTGGCTTGAAATCTTAAACCATCTCTTCCCATTCCTAAAAGCATTCTGAAATTTAAATTATCTTCTTTCTTATAGTACATATTATAAATAACATACAAAATAATACATTATAAATAACTGTACTAACAAAAACAAATTATAATAAGTTCACCTAAAAGTTGCTAATTTTACAACTAGTTTTACTTAAACTGAATACAAATTGCAGACTAGAATCTGAATTATTTATTTGGGCCATAAAAGAAAATTCTTTCTTCTAAATTAAAAAACTTGATCACTAATCTAATGATTAATCAAGTCACAGTTAATATTATAATATTATTTGTTACTGTTCTGTTATCAGAACCAGTCGATGTTAAATGTTTTGCTAAACTCATCAAGAGATTGATTCATATGATGTTGCCAATGTTTACTTTTAAAATCGGTACTATTCGGTTTTGAGGGCCGTAAAAAATGGCCGAACTATTGTTGATACCAGTGCTGCCAAAAATAATTGCAGAAACCCTAACGCAAAAAAGAATGTATAATAGTAAATAACTATCTAAGATTGATGTTTTAATTTTGATGAAATGTTAATTTTGTATAATACTTTCTTATTATTATAATTTGTATAAAAAAGCTAAACATGACTGAATGGAAGCATAAAAGTAAATAACTATTTCAGATCATTTTTATAATTTACATAAAAATTGCTAAACATAACTGAATGGATGCCTGCATCACTATTTCGCTACAGAGTTATCGCTAAAGCATAATTTCCTCTCGTTATTTGTTCAAACATAATTTTCTATAATGAATAATGCCTTTTCTTTGAAAAAATTCTCGGTAAAGTGCAGAATCGCCCACTTATTTGTTCGCCGCTTTTTACAAGAGTAAAAAAAATTGGATTTTTGTCAATTTTCTTTTACTTTTTAAGTGAAAATAGGTCCATGTGTACATAGATAAAATCAAGGGATTTTGTGCAATTCTGGGATTTTTTTTTAAGTGAAAATAGGTCGATGTGTACATGGACACCAAGTATGTGCAATTCTTAAAAACGTGTCAAGCAGTGGGCGATTCTGCACTTTACTCAAAATTCTATTGCAGACTTTCCATCACGGGCAATTCCCAAATTGTTAAATCCATAGAATATTAAAAAAGGATAAAAATTAAACTAGTATTTCAATGGCGTCTTAAGAAATATAGAACTATATAAACTTATATAAACTTAACACAATCTAAAATCAGCGCATACGCTAGGTTTGGCACGCTGTTAAATGGGCGAGCTTGCTAGTTTTGGCACTCTTTTGCGCATACATTTTTGCTGCAATTTCTTTACGGTCCTCAAAATGGAATAGTACCTTAAAATCATTACAATATTTACATATCAAAAAAAGTAAAATAATGAATTTCAAAATCGGCAACAAGAATATAAATCCTAAAATGTAATGGTCACTAGTGTTTTTATTATTCTTGTATTTACTATGGATTATAAAATTTGGGACTTGCATAATGATGAAACATCTTCCATACTATTTCATCAGGGACAACAAATTATTCACTCTGGAAGAAAGTGCACGAAAATCTATACAATAAAGCTCTACTTCAATTTGAAGGAAGAACTGGAATAGAGATGTGAAGGTCCATATTTGAACATTTCTGTGTTAACCATAAACCAACCAATAACCATAACCAGCAGCCTAAAACACAAATGTTTTCAAATATTTTAAATGATACCCGCAGTTTCATGCTTTCATATTAATCTTACTCCACTTAATTTTTTTAGTCCTTTTGGTAAGTTGTTTAATTTGCATTAAAAATTTCTAATTTTACGAATATCTGCTATGGTATTTTTTCCGTTGGATTTTTCTTAATATTGGAAAATTTTGACGATTATGTTTATGCTTCAAATTTTTCGCCAGATCATCCGATTTTGGCGATATCTGAACCTGGTCCCGATAACAAAACAGTAAACATTATTCCAACAGTAGAGAAAACAAAAGTTCTTGAATGAAAAAAATTTCTCATAAGAATCTAAATTCTACATTTTCAAATCAAAGTTCTCATATAAACAAATATAAAATAACTTCTAAAAATAACACATACAAATCTAGTAAAATTTCTGAAACAGAAAAACCAATAATTCCAGAACATTAATTTAATCAATAAATTATTCACTTACATTTTTAAAAAATTATCTGAAAATTAATTTCAAATAATATTACATTGAAAACTGATAATGGAGGTCAAATCAACAGTCAGGGATAAAAACAACATATTAGCGAAGTTATGCTACATTTTGATTTTTTATATTTATTAATTTTGTAATGTCACACTTGAGCTCATACAAAAATTTTTCAAAAAAATCCAATGTAGATCCTTGAAACCTATTAAATTACACACAGTTTTTGCTGAACTTCATTTACACCTGTTTCCTGAAATTATTCCAACTTAGTTAAACAATCCCTTAAGGCAAGTTAAAAATGAAATCAAAAACTGAAAATTTTGAAATTAAATATCCTAGTCAATTTTTGTCATACAAATATCAAACTTATTGTATTTTTATTTTTTCATACCAAGTATAAAATTTTCTCAAACATAAGTATAGGGACTGGGTGTATAAGGACATAAGTATAGTGACTGGACCCCTTTACAAGTTAGATTTCATTATTTGTCCACAATATTTTTAACTCAAATGGCGTTAAGCCCAGAAGGGCTATTAATTTTGTTTTGATTCACTATAAATGGTGAATCACTTTTTAAATTTTTGCCACTGAATACTAGAGCCCTTTATTATATTTAAAGAAATTAAACAATGAAGAATCAGCATAAATGTATGTATTTTTCTTGCATTGTCATAAAACAACAGTACTTAGAGCCATCAAATTTTGACTGACGTACGTCTCCACCCTAACATGGGCATCAGGAAGACTGAATGGTAAAAGTATATTTTAGGGTACCCCTTGGCGAAACTTGGCAATTTTTGGCAGTAAATGGATACCGAGATTATGCAATTCTTTGATTTGTTATTTTGGCTTGCATAGCAGCGATTTTTGCGCCAAAAATCGCAAGCCATAGCAACAAGACAAAGAATTGCATAAACTCGGTATCCATGTACACATCAACCTATTTTCACTTTAAAAAAATCCCAGAATTGCACAAAAATGGCATTGCGTACTTCCTTGACTTAAGCCATGTACACATCGACGTATTTTCACTTGACAAAAAATCAGAGAATTGCACAAACTAGGCTCTGCGCACTCCCTTTGTCCATGTACACATCGAACTATATTCACTTAAAAAGTCAAACTAGCTGCCAAGAAAAAATATATAATCTGAATAAACTGCATTTTAAATTAAACAATGAAATAACATAAAAAAGGAAATTCATCTTAACACTACACAAAGGAAATATCTGCTTAGCTTATTTACAAATTTATGAGTCTTCAGTCAAACAAAATTCCTTAACAGCATCCAAACACTTCCTAAAATTATCTGGACTAGAATCTGTATACTGATGTCGACACATAAATTCGCAAAAATAAGAGTAAAAATATTCAATGTTCGACCATACGCATTTTCTTCCTCCAAACAGGGCACTTAACTCTTTGGCATCGAAGTCGCCCCAAACGCCCGAGCATTCAGACATCGGCTGGACGCCCAAAACGCCTGAATAATTTCCTACCCAGTGCTTTTCCACGTTACTGCATTACTCATTGCTTTCAGGTATTGTTAAATCACATGTCAATCATTCTTTTGAAGCTACTAAAAGTAGCTTCCTTGTTTCCTTTGTTCCTTCCTTTAATTTGTTTACTGTCAGTGTTTAGCTTTTGATGCCCGAAGTTGCAATCCCGTCCCAAGGGGGAACTTCACACAGTGTCAAAGCGTCGAAGAAAGAAGTTCTCGCTTAAGTAAGGCTATTTGCTAGCGCTGTAGTATTCAACTTGTCATGGGGGAAGGAAAAGCATTCCAAGAGAAATTCTTAGATACGGGCGTTTTCGATGTTTGGGGAATTGAGATTTTGCCCTCTCTCGATGCGAAAGAGTTAATAATGACTACTAAGTAACCCTTCATTTACACAACAGTCAATTAAAGCTTTTTTCCCTTCTGTTCCAAATCCTACAGAAACTTCAAATTAATCTTACCACATTCAGCCAATTTACTGTGTAAACCATAAAATAACAATGCACTTATCCAATGCACACAAGCCCTTACCCAAAACCCGTCAGACACTTCCCAAATTTTTTCCCATGATTAAAATTCACCGCAACCAATTACGTCATAATAGGGTTTCCATAGTATTCAACTACTCAGGTTATCATAAATGAGACAACTTGGCAATAAATTAAGCAACAGCTCTGCGATAATACAAGGGTTAACCTAAAGTCGACTCTAACCGACTGAATTTGTTTTATTATCTATTTCATATTTTTTAAAGCATTTGAGTTTTTGACTAAGAAACCCAATGACTTCAAAGCAAGCAATGCAGGGCTGTGAAGTCAGAGTCATGGAGTCGGAATTGGAGTTACATAGATTTTTAGGTAAAAAGAGTCAGCTGGAGTAACCAAAAACACAATGACAATTTAGTTTTTGTGGGACAGTTTCAATTTGAAATGAAATTAAAGTGAATTTAAAAAAAAAAATAATGACAAATTGAGTTATTTTTATTTATGGAATACATATTTTAATAATATTTAGTTACTTTCCATTTGATTGACATATTAATAAATAAGGGGGATGATGGATGTGATATTTGCCATTATTCATTAAACTGATTCATTTAGTTACTTTATCAGCTCGTAGATGGCATTATCGTAGCATAATTCACAACAAAAAAAGGAACCCATGGCTGCAAAATGCATCAAATGCTACAAATCTCATTGGTACCCATGCTAGAAATCTCATAGGTAAATTAAGGCAAGCAGCCCCAAGGACTCCAAAAGTGATGCCATTTTTAGGAGGCGAGCAAAAAAAGAGGAATTATTGATCAAGTAACATGATGGAGAAGTACATATTTGATGATAAAAAGGTTGTTAGAATTCAGAATGTTTTTAGAAGATGTAGATAACCCTAATGTTCTACTAACAGACTGTGGAATGATCTTGCAGAATTAGAAACTCTTCTTTCTATACTGTATATAGCCACAAAAAAGCTACAATCTGAAGAATTAACAGGAGGCATGTTTCTGCGAGAATGGAAAAATGTGATTGTTGTTCTTTCTAAAATGAGACAGCTTACTGAAGGAATCATTTCCTCAATGAAGAAAAGATAAACTAGTTTGCTAGACAATGAGATCTTGCTGGGTACAATACATATAGCTCCAAAACACTGTATTTTGTTGGATGACGAACAAATTAAAAAGGCAAAGAAAGCCATCTATAAACTTTCACTAAGAATGAAATTAATATCCGAACAATTGGAGTATTCAAATCAAGACAGACTGCAGACACTGCAACTGAATCTCTATCATCCTCTTCCACTGGTGAATTAGGTTTTCAGAAATATTTGGATAATATTGAAAAGGCTAAGTCAAAGTGAATGAAGATAAAGAACCAAGAGATTTTAGATATAAAAATGACAAAATACAAACAAAATTTCTTAGCAGCCCTTGAAGAAATAGAAAAATATGAAAGTTCTTGCAAAACACCTCTTTAGAACTTATACAAATCTATCCTGAAAAGTGTAAAGTAGCCCTAACAATAACAGCTCTTCCTCCTACTGAATTTTGTGTGGAAAGACTATTCTCATCTCTGAAGTTTATCAAATCGGATCTATGTTCCTTTATCAAAGATCTTGCCAAAGCTATAGTGTTTCTTAGAAATTACTAATGCTAGTTTTTCCATTTCATAATAAATGCTAATTAATACAAATAATCTGCTGCGGCATCAAATTTTTTTCCTATAGCATCCAACACATGTGCATATGTTTACATGAGGAAATGGAAGTCTTTAAAATTCCAGGAGCTGGAGTCTGTCATTTTCCCTACCGACTCCACAGCCCTGGAGCAATGGCAACACTATACAGAGGGAAGGGACCACTTTTATCTCCAGCATGTGAGACTGTGTATCGGAAATTCTAAAGATTTGCTCTTTTAAATATTTTGTGATATTGCTGCTGGACTGAATTTTATGGTTTAAATGTGAAGAACATCATATTTATTAAACACACAAAACGCTAAAAAAAGCACTTTTGAGCATAATATAAAATCTATAAGCTTTCAGGTATTTTTTTTAATTTAGTTCTTTTGTCAAATATTGCCTTTTTTTAATTTAAAACTGCCAAAACATGAATATTTTCATCATTTAAAACAATTTTGTTATTGGAAGTATATGTCTGTGACGAACGATTATGAAAATAAAAACCGGGTAAGATGGGGTGGATTTATATATAATGTTTTAATATTGCTGATTGTAACAAAAAAGGAAGGTTTACAACTAGATATTACAGCAGTCATATATGTAAAATTTCAGCATTCTACAGCTAATCATTCGAGTTATGCAAGATACATATGCACGCACAGACGTTGTGAAAAAAATTCCATTTTACAATCTATTTTGGTATAAAGAGTCCTTTATTCTCTCAATATCTACGAACATCATGCAAAAAGATCCTCCACATGGATTTGGGAAAGATCGAAATAGATATTTCCGCTAAAATGTGATACCCAAAATTTTTCACAATACTTCCTTTACTTCGTATAAGCAAGTAAATCACAAAAAAGTAACCATACAGAATATACAAATTTCTTAACAGATTACAGATTATGACAAAACACTTGAGAGCTATCAGCTTAAAGAAGAATGCCTTTCTGAAGGATAAAATAATTTGCATTTACACTACACATGGAGAAAATATAAGAACTATGCAAGCAGCCCATTAACTGAAATCTGAGCCCTGGTGTACCTACCATTGTTCAGTGATTTTGCTACTCAGCCACTGGTGCGGCCGAAGAAAGGAATTAATTTCATGAAAGTTTTTTAAATGTATGTGGCCTGCATTCACATTATTCAAGAAGAAAAATGTAAAAAGTCTCTAAGCAGTCAATTTATAGAGAGATTTGAAAGTCTGTGATATATACATAATTAAAATATACTAATTAAAAAAACTAATAAATAATTAATACTAATAATAAAAATTAAGCATTGCACACCACATACCTTAATACTACAACAATAGGACTCTCACTTCCTGTCACAACCATTAGTCCTTTCCATATCATAAGAGCGGAAGACACAATCATTCCAAAATTCAAGACTTGATACATAAGCTAAAACATAACAAAATATGTAAGCTTTATCATACAAGAATAGACATAGCTACAAAATACCATTATATGAAAAATATTATTTTAAGATGTAGACATTTTTATATAAAAATGACTCAATAAATCAATCAATCAATAATCAATTTTATATAAAAATGACTCAATAAACTTTGTTCAGGCTTGGATAAATTCTGAAAGTGATCTCTCCCACATTTCCACCAGGAAAAGAAGCAACAGTATCTTTTTTATGGATCAATTCTCAGGATAAATACACAATTAAAAAATAAAACATACATATAAAAACATACATGTTTTATTAAATAGTTTTTTTGTAATTACAGGTCATTATTTCCTGTTGCGAAAAATCATCAAACTGTCAAGGTGGTAGGATGGTGAAGTCACTTTCTATGAAGGATGCACTTACTTTACTTAAAGAGCGATCTTCTAATGAATCTGATATTGCCATATATGATACATCTGATGAAGAATATTCACCAAAAATTACAGAAGTGGAGTATATGTCATGAGTCCGACTCGGATAATCAGAGTCGAGCTGAGAGTATCCAAAAGCTAGGCCTTTCTCACATGTTAGAAATAATGCAGGGAAAAAGAGAAGTGAAGAAAATCCAGAATTTTCAGTAGAAACACGATTGTCTAATAAAGTTTTATCTATGAAAGATAAATCCCTTACAGCACTATCCCTCTTTTTATTTGATATGACATCGATCTAAAACAATCTTCTAAACCAGGGCTTCTTAAACATTTTTCAGTCGTGACCCCTTTTTATCACTGAGATTTTTTTCACAGCCCCAAGACCTCATAATATTTATGCAAATTTTGTGGGACCCCATAAGCATTGTGCAAAACCGACACATGCGCGAGTGAAACTGTCACTTTTTTCACTTGTACTGTAATACACTATTGCAGTTTTAGGTCATTAACTTGAATTTCTAATTTTAAGACATAGAACAATGTGAAATTTTTAAATAAATAACAGGCAAAATGACTGCCACGTGAAAAGCAAGTAAAATGAACGTTTATATTATAAAAAGAATGCATTGAAACCTTTTCGTTTTTTCTTTGTCTGTACTGTCTTATCTTTATCCATTTTCAGATACATTGTGTAAAAATATTTGGTAACTGTAAAACTATTATTAATAAGTTAAAGTAATATCAAAACTGCTAAAATTTTTGGTGACCTCCATGGGGGTCGTTACTCGCAATTTAAGAAACTCTGTTCTAAACAAACTTATATGCAGTGCAAAAGGGCAATCCTCTCAAATAGTTTAAATTTATTTGAACTGTAAAAATTCTTTGGAATAAGTTTATTTATGGGGATAAAGAGGATTTTCAATTATACAAATTATTGGTCCTCTGCACCAAAAATGCATAATGCCCACATTTTTGAATAAATGCTGTGTAAAGATTTAAGTGGATTTTATACGATCTTCTTTTAATACACGTTTTAACCTAAGAGAGGTGCCTCAGAATTTGGTAAATTATACAAATACAGGCCAATTTTGTCAAATTTAGCTAAAAATTTTCGAATGCACTGCATCCACACCAAAATCAAGTTGTAGACAAATCTATGATCAAATTTCAAGGATGTAGTTTATTAAAGCAATACATGCCAAAGAAATTGATCAAACAAGGCTACAGGGTATAAATGTAGTGTGATGAAAGCAGGTTTGTCTGTTAGTTTGACAATTACATTGGCCAAAACAGTTGAAGTAAGTGAAAAAAATTTAACAGAAAAGGGTCATATTTTAGCACTCCATTATTAGGAAAAAACACAGCCTTTTCATGGACAAATTTTACACGATGAATAATTTATTCAGACTTCTAAAAATGAAAAATATTTTTTTGCTCTGGAAAAGTAAACCCAAATAAAAAAAAAAAAAATCTACCTAAAAATCTTAAAGAACAAGGCTTAGGAAAGGGAGATTTTGTTAGCAGCAACAAGATTGCATGCTTAAAAATGGAAGGACAACAGATGTGTAAATATGTTATCAAATCAAAATCATCCGATTGATATTTTACAAGTGCAAAGAAAGATGGAAATATAATAAAAACTCCCTCCCCAAAAGCTGTTATGAATTATAATAGTAACATGAGACTTCTGGATCACTTCAATCATTTAAAAATTACATACGAAATTAATAGGAAAAGTAAAAAGTGGTGGGACACAATTTTTTTTTATTTTTTATATGTAACCCTAATTCTTATACAGATTTACTTCTGCCAAAAGATCAGGGACACCGAACACCTCAAACCAACTCGACATTCCATGACAGTCTTACTGGACTTCTCTAAGGCCTTTGATACTGTCCAGAAAAACAAACTTATTCTTAAATTCCATGACACTTTCAACATTAGGGGTTCTGTCCTGGTTTGGATAGCTGACTTTCTGCACCAGAGATCCACCAGAGTTAAATTTAACAAGACCTACTCAGATCCTTTTAGACTAGCCATTCCTCAGGGATCAGTCTTCAGCCCTAATCTATTCTCCCCCTTTTTGGCTGGTGTAGAGATAAGGAAACCAAAACTTGTTGATATTACTATCTTTGCTGACAATATTGTTCTTTGGCATTCAAGCACAGATGCGAATAACATCGAAACAATCCTTAACACCACTTTGGTAGCACTCTACGAGTTTGCAACAGAACATAAATTGACTTTCAATCCCGCTAAATCAATAGTGACCTTTTTTACTACAATCAAAAGTCGTTAATCCGGACTCGTCGGGACTTCGGCGATTCTGGATTATCGATCATCAGTTTAAATCTGGTAAGATGGCATGCAGAAATTATAAAATTAAAAATATGAAACCGTAATTTATGAAATAAAGAGCAATTATGATCTAAAGGGTATCAAAATTTACAAAAAAAAGGTTAATATTTATTTGTTTACTTTATTAAACATTTTTTTCAATGTAAGTTGTTTAAGTTGCTTCGTTTTATGTGATAATACTTTCTCTTTAATTCAATAAACAGACATAATTTCTTTTCAGTTACAAAGTTCCGCTGTTCAAGTCTATAATTGCTGTGTCGAGAATACCAACTAATTTATCAATCAAAATTTTTTCGTTTTCAATAACCTCCGAGTCACATTCTTCACTATCGGAAGCGAATTATAATGAAGAGGAATTTGATTTAAATCATATCAAAGACGGAGTACATTGAGATGAAATACTACATTTAGTAAGGAATTACAAGGCAAATAAAATAAAAACATCTCCCCTGAAAATAAGGATAGTGCTGACAGATCAACTTCCAATTCATTGCACGCCGCTGCCCCCCCCCCCCCCGCGGATTTGATAAACACAAAACAAAAATGATATTCCTATATAAAATTTCAAAGAAATAACCAGTTGCCATAAAAGCATACAAAGCCTTTCACCCCCCCCAAAAGGTTGAAGCATGTTGAACATCTTGTAGCACATTAAGACAATATCCATTATGCAGCAAAGAAGAAAAACAAAATGGATATGTGCACATGTAATAATCCTTTATGCATCCAAACAAAAAGTGAAACATGTTTCAAGACGTTTCATTTGCATTAAACATTCCATCTATATGTATATATATATAAAGAAAATTATCATTTAAAATCACCTATTACATTATGTATAGCCTTTTATGCTCTTTTTTTTTAATTTGCTTAAATTTTAAATGTTTAGGTTGTTACCTAAATATTAAAAATTGGGGATACTCAGATAACCGACACTTGGCGAGGCTCCTAAAATCGTGTTCGCCAACTAGGGCGATAGGCGCCAAACAGTGGGAAAAGTGTTTAGGTTGCTAGCTCAGATGTTAACTAAGTTAGGGAAAAGGAAAGGGATATTTTCTTTATTTGTAAATACTTTGCGTTGGATGTCGTCACTGCCAATAAATTTTTGTGCTGATGATCACATGACTTTGACAGAAGACGTTTGCACCTGTAATTGAACAATTTTAGGTTGATCTTTACAATATGGTAACTGGTAGTTTGGTGACATTTTGGAGGGGATAAAGGTTACTACCTGGGACTTTGGTAATAATGTGAGCAGTACTCAGTTCCGATTACGCATTATTTTGTGTGAGTGAAATGAGAGATCATGGGATATGTCATGTGATATTAATGGACGAATTACGGTTCTTTAATCGGAAAAGGGGGGAAATCGGAAAAAAATCTGGAAATTTTGTATTTGGCTTCATTCTGTGTTGTGTGAAACAGTGTTCGTGAATTTTTGGATCCCATGGCCGTAACTAAAGTGAATTCGAAATGGGTCTTTAGTGGTATTGAAAAGGTTAGTAATAAATGTTTCTTTAAGGTTGTGCGAGATAGAAATAAAGATGTTTTATTAAGTTATTTATTTTACCTGGTACCTTGCTGTGAAATATAAGTATGATTTTAAAGATCCTGAAACAGAAAGAAAGAAAAGTTTATCGGACACGTAATCAAGATTCTGAAGAAGAAGATTAGGTAAGTTAGTATTTTTAATTATTTGAGGATATTATTTTTATGCATTGTTCTAAATGTAAGGTGGAAGTAAAGGAATTTGGTATTATTGGGAAAATTGTTATTAGCAATGATTTAGTTTAAAGTAATTAGGATTGTAAGGTAATTTTTATTAATTTATGTATGTGCTCATTTATATTTTAAGTAGTGTTTTTTGAATTTAATTATATTTTAATTAAATGATAGTTATTTTGTGAATTTTATGTTTGTAGGAATTTGGTATACATTTTAGTTGAAGTAAACGTGCATGGAAATAATTTAAATATCTGACACTAAGTATTTGTAATGGTTGCGGTATGAATTCGTTGGTGACGTTTATAATATAATAGATTATTTAGAGGTAAAAGTTTTTGGATATTTTATTTATTTTATATGTGGAAATGTTCATATTTGGAAAGGGTAAATACTTTTTCGCGATCAGGTAATTTCATATATGTTCTTTTTACCGGGTTTAAAGTTTAAAGATTGAGAAAATTGTCATGTATTTTCGTGAAATTTTTCTA